TGGCCGCGCTGTGAGATGCTTTTTCTTTGAATTTTGGTCACGGCTACTGATCGCGACTTCTCTTTTCTATGTTGCCACCTTCATTTCACAAACAAATAAATAGATCGAGGTTTTGTACAATGAAAAAAAAAATAAATAAATAAATAAAACAAGAAGATAAAATAAATTTTGAGGTTATTTAGTCTCCTTGCTAATTGCCGATTTTTATAAAATTGATAAGACATAAATGCAGTGATCATTTTAGCATTGTATTTTTTATCTTAATCATTTTTACCACACCGGGAGATCTTTTAATTATAAATGATCATTTAATATTATTGTGTAAATAATACGTTCGAATCTTTATTCCTTTAAATGTTATTGATCTGAGTAATTTAAAAAAAAAATTACATGTGAGTCGCGTCAAATTATCATCGCTTGTTATCATTGTCAAATTATCATCGCACTCAAAATAAATTAAGTAAAATTTTTCATGTTGTTAAATTTTGAACAAAAGTGCAGAAAACGCGCTTAAAAAGTAGGTAAGGTAAAGTATGTGAAATCAAAAATTCAGCTGATTCAAATTCTGGAGATATTTCCAGCTAGTAAAATTAAATAAGTTCTATAAAATTACATTTCAAAAATGTTACAAATGAACATTCGAAGCCCAATCAATATGAAAGCAATATTTATCAATAGGAAAGCTACTGCCAATAATTATAGGTTGTTTTGAGAAACTATCATGTTTTTACTATTACTATTATTTCTTTTTTTTTCCTTCGGAACTGCGAGCATCTTTTTGTTTCGACAACGCGAAACTACATAATTTTATTTTCACATTTTCTATTGAAAACAACACTTCTTACTAAAACTCAGGAAGAATAAATATTTTGTTAAAAATATTGTTTGAATATTACTCTTGTAAGTACTGTTTTAAACTCATTATAAATAAATAAGGAAAAAAAAAACGTACTTCATTAGAAATCCATGTGCTGAAATCAAAATGTTTTCACAAATTTTTCCCCTTTGTAAACATTTCATGTCAAACACTAAAACGTCGTATAACTAGAATAAATGAAATAAATTTCTCAAAATAAATTTACTTTTTTTATATTATCAAAACATTAAACAAATCATTTATTATTTAACTCACTGCATCAAATCAAGCTTTATTTTGTTACTTAACGAGCTGAATTTCGTGAACAGTTAGGAAGCTAACTACACCCGATTGGCAAAAAAAGTGTTCACTATAAACATAACTATAAGGAAAACTTTAGAATAAATTGTTATGACTATGAAGTGGCGTTCTAATTTTGGAAGTTAACATCAATGCCGTATATTTGACGACACTTAATGATATGTAATCCAAATGTATTGTCTGCAGCATATGTAGCTCTATAAAGGAATCTTACCTTCATAATCAGTTCCTACTGTTTTCAGCGAAACGAGTTGAAAACTTCTCATTATTTGCAAACGAACTCGATTTCGTTTCTACTCGTTGCTTTCGTTATGAATTTCGATGCATAAATTCGTTAACGAAGTTTTCGCTGCTGAAAGAAAGTGTATTTTTCGAAATGAAATTTTATTTAGAGATTTTATTGAAGAATAGTAATTTATCGTTTGCGCGACAATAAATAAAACGACAACGATAATCGATTATATTCTTAATGAAAGATTTTAGTATTGTATGATTAATTTTAAGAATAGTTTTGTTTTAAGTAATTAAATAATTGGGCCGAAGTGCGTTTTAGTATAATTATGATAACTAAATTCTATCAGAATAAGCAAGAAATTGTTTCAATGTCTCGGTTTGAAGCATGGTAAAGAGAGAGTTGAATGAATTCTTAATTAAATTGCCACTAATCATTATTTGCAAAGGAACTCGATTTCGTTTCTACTCATTGTTTTCGTTAAGAATTTCGATGCATAAATTCATTTAAGAAATTTTCGCTGCTAAAAGAGAATGCACTTTTCGAAATGAGATTTTATTTGTTTAATAAGTGTAATAGCAATTTATCTCTTACATGGCAATAAACTAAACAATAAAAATTAGATATTATATTTTAGTCTTCTTTGATTAATTTTAAGAATAGTTCGCTTTAAATAGTTGATTATTTGAGATAAAGTACATTTTAGTATTATAATGTGTGATTTTAGTCAACAACTTCATTTGTGTTTCAGTTTGTAACACAATATAGGGAACGTTTAATGAATTCTGCATTAAATTGCTACTAATCATTATTTGCAAATGAACTAATCATTGTTAACTAGTACATGAACTCGATTTCATTTCAACTCGTTGTTTTTGTAATGGATTTCGATGTTTGTTTTTTTAACAGTTGAAGATTTTAAGTGTTTAAAAAGTTTAATAGTAATTTATCGTTTGCATGAAAATAATTAAAGCGATAAATAAATATTAATTGTGTTCTTTTATGATTAATTTTGAGAGCAGTTTTGCTTTAAATAATTGGGATAAAATATGTTTTGGTATAATAATGATACTTAATTTATATCAGACACAATTACAATTTGTTTTGTGTTTTAGTTTGCAACTCAATAGGGAGACGGGAAATGTCACATGAGTTTAAATTTTCTGTATTGGAATTTTTTTGTTGTCTCCTTTCATTAATTCTGATTCTAAATTCGTTTAACAAATTGTTACTGAAGAGCCTGGATTTTAAGAAGTAATCAATGAAGTAACGATTCATTTATGTTGAAAAATAAATGAATCGTTTAAAAAGAGGAATCGTAAATTGTTGATCATGTGGCAACCAATAAAACGGCTGAAACTATTTGCATGATTTGCTTATTTGTTACTTATTTAGTGCGGAATTTTAGAATTTTATGATCAATTACATAAATTTTTTTAGGAAATTTAGGATGTAATTTATACTTATTACTTTCTTTTAATAATTGGTATGAGTTACATATTAGCATGATAATAATTGTGAAATTTGTGTTGGACACATTAACGGTTTATTTCGTGCCTAATTTTGCAAAAATAATTCGAAATAAGTAAACCTAAAATTATAAAGTTGATAATTTTTCTTTATTTATATTGTACTTTTAAAATAACGATTTAAATAACTCAATTTAATTTTTGTTTAAATTTCAAGTAATGTTTATTAAACATAAATATATGATAAAATAAATAAATTATAAATAAATAAATAATAAAATAAATTAAATATAAATATATATTATTCCACCATTAGAATTATTTATGTTTTAAATGATAAAAATAGCGGAAATACATGTTAAAATTAATTCCGCTATTTTAGTTATAAAATTCGAGGCTTTAACTCGTTGCATAAGTTTTTATGAACAAAATTGTTTTGCTTCTGGATCCATTAATATAGTTATAGTTTAATAAGTAATGAATGTTGTTTGAGTTTAAATGTATTAACTTATTTAGAAACGAAAAATTAATAAAAACGTGGAAAATATTTTTATTAACGAATGAAAAACCGATAATAATTATTAATTGTTAGTTTCCATTTAAATTTATTTTCTTTTTTATCAGGGTCAAAATTAATTATAGTATAACCTTGATGTAAGATATTTACTCATTCTAAGATAATAAATATGTGTGAATGATTTTAATCTAATTCATTAATGACTTTCTTTTCAAAATTAATTGTCATCTTCTTTCTCATAAAAATTTTAAATGGTAGAATTGTGCCTTTTTTTTAATTTCCTTTCTAATATTATAAGTTATTAAAACTAGCAATTGTTTTAAAACTTAATTGACAGAAAAAAAAGAAAGAAAGAAAAAGTACTTGTTACTTTTTAAGTACTTTTAAGTTGCTTCACTGTTTTTCTTTACATAACTTATATATAAAAAAAGAGTTATAACTTTTCACCCAGCAGTNTTTTTTTAATTTCCTTTCTAATTTTATAAGTTATTAAAACTAGCAATTGTTTTTAAACTTAATTGACAGAAAAAAAAAAGAAAGAAAGAAAAAGTACTTGTTACTTTTTAAGTACTTTTAAGTTGCTTCACTGTTTTTCTTTACATAAAAAAAGATTCTTTACGAAGAAAAAAAGATTCTTTAGAAAGATTAAAAATTCTTTACATTTCTTTATATATAAAAAAAGAGTTATAACTTCTCACCCAGCAGTACTTAGTTACGACTCCTCGATATGCATATGTACTTTCTGTACTCTTCACTTTGTTATTTACTAAACTCTTTATTTAGTTACTATTGTAGTAGTTTTTAATCTTGATTGCATAAGAAAAAAGTAATTGTTGCTCCACTGTTTGTTGACCAAGCATACGAGCTATATTTTTTATGTTTATTTATTTTGATGGGTTTGAGTATTATTGCATCAGATTTTATTTGTTTTATAATTTATTATTTTACAAGTTTTATTATAAATTTTTAACTTAACGTAAAAACAATAGCAAAAACTTTGTTAATGCTCTTTTTATTTATGCATTTTAATTTACAAAAATAAAACAATATATTAACTTCATTAATTTGTAAAATAAATTGTTTAATTATTTTTAAAAAAATATTAGGAAAATATTTATTTGAAATTTCCCATTTGCATTTTGACTAAATTATCCATATTTTAAAACTGCAGTTACATTATTTTTATTACTAATGAGCAATGTAATAACTAAGAATAATACATAAAGATTAATGTAAACAAAGATATAGACAATAAAGAATAAGATTATAAGAATGATGAAACGAGAAATGTATAATGTAATTAAAACCATGAAAATAATAAAGAATAATGTAAAGAATAAAGATAATGTAAGTAATAAGTGAGAATTGAAAGAATAAAGATAATGTTATAAAAAATTATTTCTATATCTTTTTCTAAAGTTATTTCTATAACAAATATCTATTTCTTATTTGTAAAATTTAAAGTAATTTGTAGCAAACAACAAAACTGTAGCTAAAGCTATTTTAAACTATTTTTATTTATTATGTTTAAGTGATTTAATTACCACATTTTTCTTATTTTAATTCGATGAACTGAATGTGAATATGTGTTTTGAAATTTTCCAGGGGACAATAGATACGGAAGCAATACAGAAGGGGGTAAAACCCCCGTTGCAGATACGACGACACTTCCGGCAGAAATAAGTCCCGGTTACGGCATGTGTGTCCGGCCGTCCGGACAGAAGCAGGAGACACCCGAGTCCCAGCAACCTTCGCCAGCGCCAAAAAGCGCCAGCAGTCCTGCCAAGTCCATTGCAACTATCATGGACGTGGTGAGTGTGAACAGGTTTTTGACTATTTGTTCAAAAGAAAAATTCAGTTTTGCTACATGTAACCTCATTGATCACGCTTAAAGAACTCTGTTAAATCATTAATTTTACACATCACTAGTTTTTTTTTCTCCCTTCTCAAGCAATTTTGTTGATACTATAAAATAAAATCAGAAATTAATTTCGATTTTTTCTTCTTCCAAATTACGAAATGCAATATATAAAATTGATATATTTCCCAAGTTATATAATAATTACTGTTATTCGGTTAATTGCGTATATAGATTCTGTTACACGCATATATTTCATAAGTTGTTACAGTTATTCGGCGCATATAGATTCGGTTACACGCATATATTTCATAAGTTCTTACTGTTATTCGGTTAATTGCGCATATAGATTCGGTTACACGCATATATTTCATAAGTTCTTACTGTTATTCGGTTAATTGCCCATATAGATTCGGTTTCACGCATATATTTCATAAGTTGTTACTGTTATTTGGTTAATTGTGCATATATATTCTGTTATACACACATATTTTATAAGTTGTTATTATTATTCGGTTAATTGCTTTCCTTTACTGTATCTTGGTTAAGTGTTCTCTGTTTTTTTTTTCTTTTGACTTAACCAAGCTTAAACGTTATTTTTTAATGAAAAATATAAAAAAAAAAGCTTTTGAATGATGTTATATTAGAATCTTAGAATAGAATTTCAGAAACTAAATCTTAATATTTTCAAATAACATTTAATTGAATTCAGATTAAATAATAATTTTTTCATTACCTCACATTCAGATAATTTATTTTAAGATAGACATATTTATTTAATTTCGTTAAGAAAAAAATAAATCGCACGAATTCAGCACAATTTTAAATTTACCGTATTAGTTTCGTGAATCATTAAAAAAATGAAGTATGTTTATAATTTTATAATTAAGTACAGTGGATGATTTCTCATTTTAGATACCACTTCAATTCATAGTAACCAAAGTTCAATTATAAACTGCATATATTTTTATGACTATTATGTGTAAAACGCGATTACATTTTTGTATTTCTGTACATTTTTTTTTTTTTTTGTATTTACTTCGAAAGTGAAGAAATCGTATACTGACTAAAATTTGTTGAATTATTAAAACAGACTCAAAAATTAAAAATAAAAAAATTGCTCACTCACTTAAGCAGACGAAAAAATAATTATTGTTTTACAAATTTAGTATCAGTTCATTTTTCATAACACAATCAAATAGCCAAAGTAAAAGAAAAAGATGGAAAAAACACACTATAGTCAGCATTGTAAAAATTACTTAACTATACCTACTTTGTTTACTGTGTGATCATTTCATGCATATACATTTTTGCTACAAAAAACCAAAAGTGTGCACAATTTCTGCATAAAACAGTTTTTTAAAACAAATATGAGCTGGAAAAAAATGATCTTATTGATATTGTATTTAAATTAATAAAAGACAGAACAAATACGTTTTCATTTAATTTACTAATTCCTTTGAAAACAACAATAAATAACATTATATATTCATTAACAAGCAATTTACGAATTCTGATTACTTTTTCTAGGCTGTCCATATTATGACTATCCATATATTCTGTAGGGAAAAAAAACTGTCTTAACAGTAAATAAATTTAATAGCAATTTGTAGGCTTTCCAAGCAAGAGTAATTGTAATCATACAAGGTACTTAATTCTAGGTTGGCGTAAATAATATAAAGAGTCTATTACACTCTTCCTGAAGCTAAGCACATAAAAAAGTGGTGGCTAGTCACATAATCTTTAATAAATCTTCCCTCTCGCCAAAAGAGTTTTGGCCCTTGGGCGAGAAAACGATCACCCTAACGGCACGCACACTTCTAGAATTCTCCCAAGCAAAACGACACGTTCTGCGACAAGGGTCGCGTGATTCTCCGGTGTACCCTAGAACATCTTTCGAATTCAAATTTCGAACAAGGTCCGGAGGAGAGGCCTATACTATATGTCATCTGCGGTTTGTCGACAACAATGAGATTCATATCTTGACGAATGCGAGCAATGGGTTTGACTAATAGCCAGATTGTATGACGATTAAATGACCCGCTGGTTGGCTACCGACAAGATTATCGTTTGACTTTTTGCAACAACAACAAAACAAAAAAGATGTGCAGACGATAATGTGAGGGAATATAATCCTAATACGTGAGCAAAATGTGAATTCACTTCAATTCTTGTCGCGAATAATCGTCGGACAATGTTCAGAAAAAGTGAATAGAGTCGTTATCTGATGTGTTATTTCTGGCATTGCTTGATTTATGGTCATTGTTTTATGAATTAACTCGGAAAAGTAATTAAAAACATCATGCATTTGTCGTGAGTGTTAAATTGCTTTTTGGTTTTGGAATAATAAAAGTGGAGAAAGAAAAATACATTGTAAACTCTTTTATGTCGTTGTAAGCAACTGAGTGATACAAGTAATTGTTTTGGTGTAAGTGCGAGGTGTTTCGGAATATTTATTGTTAATTTATTCTTACATATTTATTCAGGAAGAAATTGTATTTCGATCCATTTGCTTACTGATTATGTATGATGTTCCATGACAGTTTTCACTTAAGTGCTATTGTCTGAAAGCTTCCAGTAATTGCCCAATGATTACGTATCTATTCACTGGAAGTTTTACAGTAATTGATTCTTTGGAATTATTTCTATTGACCGCTACTTTACACCAATTTTAATAAATTGGAACATCATAATAAGAATATGGTTGTGATAGACTTTTATTCAATAATTTTAAGTTCATTCCATCAATTTTAAATTTATTCCATTAATATTTTTTTGCTTTTAAGAGGAGTTTTTTTTAATTGTATAAAGTGTTATGGTTTTGCTTGAATTTCTTTTTACAGCTTCTTCGAACTTTATAATGAAGTATTGAAATTTAATAGACTTTGAAAATACAGTGACTATAATAATAATAGTATCAAAAACAATTTTGGGAATTGCCATTGTGTTTTAATATTTCTGAAATAATTTACCAATAGATTTTAAAATTATTTAAAACCAAAAAATAAATAAATGAAAATAATTTACGTAAAAGATAATCTATTGAAAGGAAGAAGATTTTTGAATAAGACACGAATGCAACGCATTGTCAACATTTAAAAGCCTTCATGCGTATAATTTAACGTTTAAATGGCATTAAAGCAGACTAACTCTAACAACATTTAACGCTATAACAACAACTAACTATAGCATTAACATTTACTTATGTCTTATATAAATATTAAACTGCTGTATATTTATGTTTACATACTAACAAGGTTCGATTGATCATTTCATTAAGTTTGTAGTAAATTTAAAATACGGCAAATGGTCAAAATTCAGAAATAGTTTTATCATTATGATAAAATTAATTTTATATGATTTAAAGCGTGCTAAAGCTACTGAAAGTTTAAAAAAAAAAAGTATGCATTGATTGATTTTTGTTTTCCAGTAAGATTCGGTGATTCAACTCGTACGTCCCGAGCAATAACGTATAGATCATAATCAATCACTGACTAGTTCAACGTTGAACCATAATACGGTGCAAACTTGCCGCAACTTCAACAAAGTTTTAAATTAACCCTATTACGGTTCTACTTGAATCACATTATTGTATAATCAAGTTTGAGAAGTAAGAATAACTTAGTTCAAGTTAGGAGCATATCAAGGTTGCACCAAATTTGAACGATATTATGGTTCAACACGCTCCAAATTCACAAAATTGTAATTTTGTTGCATACCTATAAAACCCTAAACCAGTTGTGTAAACAATATACATTTTACGTACGAATCATCTGACATTGCATAGTCCAGTTTATATCATCTCTTCTCTCAACACTCTATAATTATGGCTTAATTTATTTAAATTTTTTTAGTCGGTTTAGACAAAGTACTTAAATATGTATATATGATTATTATTATTCCAAAAGCGTTAAATATTTTTTATTGTGTTATTTCGGCATAGATATTCCGCTCTTAATTATAAAAACCAAAATAATTAGAGAAATGTACACTGAATAAAAAGTTTATTCCATTAATTTAGTGCATCCGGGCGAGGGAGAAAAGATTAAATATATAAGAGTTATTTAAGCATTGACTATGCGTTCTTAAATATAAACGAAAATAATTTAAAAAATTGATACTGAATAAAAAGTTTATTCTATTAATTTAGTGCATTGAGACGAGAGAGCAGGTGTGAGAATACCAAATAACAATAAATCCTCTTTCGGCAACAACAAGAAGCAAGGGCGCAAACCAGCCAGCCGTTTCGGGATCGAAGCTCTTAAATAAATCCCTATGGCCCCCAAGGGGGCCCCAAGTGGGGGGAGAGGTATCGCCTAGGGTCCTCTGTGGTCGACCACTGACCACTGGTCAAAGTCAGGGGTAATTAAACTTGGTGGCAACTTGATAAGGCTCAGGCACAAACCCTTTCTTTTTGATCCGAGGCTGCTCTTCTAATGTCCTTCCACTAATCAGGGCCCCGAGGGGACGGAGAAAGGATGGAGGGGCGATAATGGATGACCGAAAGTTTTCTCTAGTTTGCTTTCTTTTCCACTTTACTTGAGGTCATTCAAGAATAATTTTTTTTTTTTTTTTAACTCCTTCTTCGAATTTTCTATTTATGTAGTGAAATAAAATTTGATTTTTAAAATCAATTAAATCAATTTAAGTTTTATACTATCTAAATTAACCCATAACTTTCAATAAACTTTTTTACATTAATACAATTTTTTTAATTCAACTGGACAAAATGCTTCAAATTCAGTCGAATCTGCTTAAAACCTCTTTTTTTTTTATTTCTAAGGAAAAATAAAAATAATTGTAGGACAGAGACGTGATATCAATATTAAAGCCATCAAATATCAGATTAAGTATGATTTTAAGAAAAAGTTTGCTAAATATTTGCTGAATGCAAATCAGTTAAATAATAAATAGTTAAAGCTCTCATATTTTTAGATATCCTATATCTCATAT